GCTCTTTGTTCCTCAAGACGAAACGGCGCGGTGCAAGGTAAGACATTCGAACAAAAAGGTTATGGACAATTAGTTACTAATTTCATTAAAGGGGCATATATAGACCATATACTTCCATCTAGACTCAATTCTCTTTTTCTAAAGCTGCCATACACCGAGTTGCCACTAGTTCTCCCGGTGATATTAGTGCGTTACAGTCATGGCTACGTTTAAGCAGGAAGAAAACAAGGAGAACATCATGGAGGTGGATATAGACAAGAAAAGTGAGGAGGAGGAAGATGATGATATGGAGGGCTTGGGTATGAAAGCCAAAGCTTTGACAAAGCTTCTCCAGACTAGCTCGGTACTTCAGCCATACTTACTCTTCGAACAAGGATGCGATACTAATATCAGCGTATAGGTGTTTGTAGCTATTATGGCTGATAAGATGAAGGAGCAACAGAAAAAGCAACAAGAACAGGCAAAGAGACAAGCCACCAAGGAGAAAAATCTAGCCGAGAAGCAACAAGCAGTAACTGCATCCACGAGCAAACGGTCCACAAGAGCAAGCGAGAGAAAAGCTCCAGCTGATTCAAGTAAAGGAGCCCAGAATACCCAAGAGAAAAAATCTAGTTCCATGAAGTTACCTACGCGAGGAACATCTGGGAAAGCTACAAAAGCCTCCAAAGGTGATATCACGAGCTACTTCAAGCAAGCCAAAGTCGAAGTAGCAGAGGACAAACCAACTGTACAAGAGGCTTTGGCACAAGCTGCTGACGAATTTGAAGCAAAGCCCTCTGCTTTAGGTGAGCAGGAAGATCTGACTGCAACCCAGCAACCCTCCTTAATCACAGGAGGGAAGATGAGAAAGTATCAACTTGAAGGGCTGGAGTGGATGAAGTCTCTTTGGATGAATGGACTTTGTGGTATCTTAGCGGACGAGATGGGTCTCGGAAAGACGGTGCAAGCCATCTCCTTAATAGCGTTCTTTAAAGAACATAATATCCCCGGGCCGTTTTTGATTGCTGCGCCACTGAGCACAGTCAGCAATTGGGTTAATGAGTTTGCTCGTTGGACCCCATCTATCAATACAGTTCTTTACCATGGAACTAAAGAACAACGTAGCGAGATTCGACGAAAACAGATGAAAAACCAGGACCAGAGAGCGCCGGATTTCCCAGTTGTCTGTACCTCGTATGAAATCTGCATGAATGATCGAAAGTTCCTTGCTAACTACCAATGGAAGTACATCATTGTGGTAGGTATAGACCTTTTACCCAAGGTTTCAAAATGGGACACTAAAAATGAATTTTATATAGGATGAGGGTCACCGTCTGAAGAATATGAACTGCAAGTTGATCAAAGAGCTCCTGACATACCCATCTGCAAATCGACTGCTCATAACTGGAACACCTCTGCAGAACAATGTTGCTGAGCTATGGTCACTGCTTCATTTTCTGCTACCCGAGATATTCAATGATTTGGATAACTTCCAAAGCTGGTTTGATTTTTCATCTGTTCTTGATGATTCCGATCAGAATGCAGTCAACGAGAGACGGAGACGCAATCTTGTGTCTACAATGCATGCCATTCTCAAGCCATTCTTGCTACGGCGAGTAAAGACGGATGTTGAATCATCACTCCCGAAGAAAAGGGAATATATCTTGTACGCGCCACTGACACCGGAGCAGAAGGAGCTATATGTCCAGATAGTGAACGGAACGAGCCGTCAGTATCTGGAAGAGAAGGCCGCTGAGCGAATAGAAGCTAGGAACGGCTCAGCGAAACAATCAAGAGCGCGCAGCTTGAAGAGAGGCGCAAGCGGCAGTGAGCTAAGCACGCCCAACAAGAGTGCAAAATCTAGCCGTGACTCTACACCGACTAGGGCTCGGCGTCGAGGCAGATCCAAAAACTACAAGGAAGAGTCTGATAGAGATTTCAATAGTAAGCTAGCTAGGCTAGAGAAGGGTATACAGGAGGAAGCCCCTGAGGAGAGCGAGCTTAGTGAGGAGGAGATGGATGAAATTGAGAGAGCAAAAACCATGAAGCTAGCCAGTACGTATACCTGCTACTTTGATTTGAGAACAATGGTTCATTCTAACTTACCCACTATAGAAAAAGAGATATCCTCTAAAAAGCTCCAAAATCCAGTCATGCAGGCCCGACTGGTGTGCAATTCCCCGCTCAACTTCTACTGGCCATGGGGAGAAGACTCAAGGGTGGACTCAACACTCATCACATCTTCTGGCAAGATGCTTCTTCTAGATCGTCTTGTGCCCTGTCTTATATCCAAGGGACACAAAATCCTAATCTTCTCTCAATTTAAAGGTCAACTTGATATCCTTGAGGACTGGGCTACACAGCTCCGATCCTGGAACTGCTGTCGAATCGACGGTGCAATTGCACAAGCTGATCGACAGGAACAGATAAATGCGTTTAACAACGATCCCGACTACAGAATATTTCTGCTAAGCACCCGAGCAGGGGGGCAAGGCATCAACCTCACTGCCGCTGACACCGTTATTCTGTTCGATTCTGACTGGAACCCGCAACAGGATCTCCAGGCCCAGGACCGAGCTCACAGAATCGGCCAGACGAAGCCAGTGATTGTCTACCGGCTAGCTACCAGGGGAACAATTGAACAGACTCTCCTTGAGCGAGCTGGTTCCAAACGCCGGCTGGAGAAACTAGTCATTCAAAAAGGAAAATTTAAAAGCCTCCTTGATTCTACGAGTTCATCCAACCCTCAGCGTCAGGCAGATGAGCTAAAGAAGATATTCGGAGACGAAGACATTGAAGTGTTTGATATCGGCGCCGAAACCACGTCTGAGGCTCTGCTTTCAGAGAAAGATCTAGAGATATTAACAGACCGTAGCGACGAGGCGTACTCGGACCAACGGATGAACGAGAGTGGGCGTGCGTTTGCTGCTGTCAAGGCGAATACGGATGCAGACGAGATCATGGCGGACATCACCAGTAAATAAGAAAGAAAGCTGCTGGCTGACTGGGGTACCCTTTTCTTTTTTGGTATGGACAAAAAAAAAACCGTAGAAGCCATCTAGAACTTGCAGAAGCTACCGTGTAATATAATAAGATATCATTAGAGAGATATAAATCCAACAAAGGATATAGGCATAATACACCGTCTGCAAGGCGTTAGAAAAGGGTGATGTGGGGGGAAATGGAGTTATATACTATATCAAAAATAAGCCAGCCGATAGCCGTTATCGAGAATGTTTGGCCTCTTGCACTTGATCACGCAGGTCCGACAAGACTTCATTACGCTTCGCTAGATGGGCCTTGAGGCCTTCAACCTGCTCCTCAACGGCCTTGACATCAGCCCGGATGCGCTCAAGGCTCTCGCCCTCGCTAACCCGCCCAGTTCCTTCTCTGAGCTCCCGCAGCTCACGCTCTTTATACTCGAGCATCTGCAGAGCTTCCTTCTTGATCAGCGCCCAGTTCGGTCCGTCAGTCCGCGCTCTGGTGCCGTTCTTTCTTGCCTCGACAGCCGCATTGGCTGCTTCCAGCTTTTTATCTAGCTCCGCCAATTCTCGCCGTAGACGGACTTTCTCCCATTCTTCGTCTTGTATGGTATTACTGAAATCTGTTCCCTGAGGCTGGTAGCTTGATTTGCCTCCCACGCCTAGCCGACTTAGATATGCATCACCGAACTTGGCTTTGCGGCCTGTACTTGTGTCGTCGTTGCTGGAGACACCCCATTTCTTGGCTGTGCGGACATTGTCGAGCTGATAGTCTATCTTATTGGATTCGAAGGAGGCGCGGAGGGAGGCGGGGACGTTGCGGGGGATACGGTAGCCCTCGTGTCTGTTATTTAGGATGTGGAGGAAGGCGAGGGCTGCGTCTTTGGAGATGGTGGAGGAGGCGGATGGGTTGACTAGGTTCCATGCCGAGCGGATGTCTGTGTCTGGTACTGAGAGGGAGTCGTATAGATCTTGTAATGAGGAGACTGGACAACTCAGTTAGCACAGTCCCCCTTGTAATTATTTAATAAGCACATGGCTAAAGGGAGAAACACGTACATGCTATCTCTCCCCGATGGTTCTTGTTGGCAGAGTATATCTCCTCGTACTTGGCCTTGTCCTGAGGTGCCATGTACCAGTCGAAGCCGTCCTTGAGGCCAGGGGTATCGTCCTCGTCCTCTACTCTCTCGAATTGCGGTTGTGAGCCGGTCAGCGCCCTGCTGGCCTGGACGAGATGTGCCTTTGACTCTGGAACCAGCCAGTCCGGTAGAGCAGGCGGTACATCGTTATATTCCTATATCATCAGCCTGTCAGTATATGTATATATGTATATATATCTCCGCAAAGTAGAACCCCCGAGTTAAACGCACCCCATTGACAAGGTCGAAGATCAGCCTCATGGCCACGCAGAACTCTTCAAAGTCCAGCTCTCCGTCTCCGTCGACGTCTGCCAGATCCCACACCCGCTCCAGCTGGTCATCTCGCAGTCGGCTGTTGCGCAGGACGGTGGCCGCTTGCGCGTTGTTGAGTCGTGGCTGGCCATTAGATAGCGACGAGAAGATCTCCCAGTACCGCTCGACCTCCCACTGCTCTATCTTCTTCTCGCCCATGGTGCAGTAGCATACGCAGCCTCAGCACAGCCTCTAATTGCGCTTCTATCTTCTCTTCTTCTTCTTCTTCGTCTTCGTCTTCGTCTTCTCCGCTTGTTTGTCTGCTGCGTCTTCGTTGTCGCTTCGTCGTTGCTTATCGTCGATGGCAGAGCTTCGGCTTAGTCAGCAGAACATGTTAAATCCTGCAGTAGAAGAAGTTGGACCTTGGTAGGTTGAGGATCTGATATTTGATATTGATATTAGGATGAAAGAAGAGGGAAGAAGAGATCATTAGATTATCCAGGGTGCATGGACTCGTGATGCGTCTGACTAGGTCTATACGGGGCGTAAACACAGTAATATACATGGCAAAAGGGGCATTTATATGCGACCAAACAGGGGGGGTTGATGGGAAATAAGTAGAAAGTAGATGCCAGGGAGTTTGTTATCTTCAGGGCTGTTTCTTCTGGTCAAGCTGCTGTTGGACCTGATGGACGGCTCGCTCGACCTCAGCAACGAGCTCGGGGGCATCCAGCATCTTGGCCAGGGCCTTGCCGTCGGTGTCCTTGAGCAGCATCACCTCCTTTCCACAGTTGCCGTCATCACAGTCCGGCGCAGTCTTCTCGTCAGCTGTCGTATCTTCCACCCCGTCCTTGCGCGGGTAGTGCCGTAGATAGACGTTCTCCAGGTCCGTCAGTGATCTCGGCCGGATCAGGTTCTCTTTTAGCAGGAATTCCAGGTGTTTGGACCCTCCCAATGCTGTATCAGCCTGTTAGTATATCTAATGTATGTATGTATGTATGTATGTATGTATTGTAGAGCCGGGCCTGCAACTAACTAACCTCTCCAGTGCGACCAGCCGCGGTAGCAGAAGAAGAAAAAGGGTATATTAGGTATCCTAGAGAGACCAGTCAGCACAGCCGTCCCGTATCAATTCAGCAAGTACGCAGTGCAGTTATATAAGATGGTGGCCCATACACCGGTACCAGCGCAAACGGAGCCGTCAAGGGCGCAACGACGATGCTCCACCACATGCGCTTGCGGTGCAGCTGCTGTCTCTCCGTGGCCAGCTGCTGCAGCAGGCCCATCACCCTGCTCGACCTGATCGCATTCTTGGGGTACAGCAGCTCGACGGGCTTGCGCGCCTGCCGCTCTGCCGTCTCCCGCCGTGAGCTCAGCGGCGGCACGCTCTTGAGCCCCCATTCCTCGTAGGGGATCCGCTGCAGCGCCCGGTGGCCGTAGGTGACCAGCGTCTTCTGCCAGCCCTTCTCTGCCGTCTCCCACTTGGCCCAGGTCGCCGTCACCTTGTTCGTAACGCGGTCGAGGTAGCTGAGCTGCTTGGCCGGCACCGCAGCGTCGAGCTTCTTGCAGTAGATGAGCGTGCGGCCCGTCGAGATCGGGATCAGAAAGAGACGCATCGTGGGACTCGTCGCTGTCTCTCTGGCCGTCAGCCTGCGCAGGCTTTTCTCTGGTTATATATAGCTATATAGGTTTTGCAGGCAGGGCGACTTGAAGGGCGAACTAGCTTCGAGCGCATCTTCAGCCGCCACCCGTCACCTCTGCTGCGCCTGGCGGGTCGACTGCCAGCGGGATCGGACGAATAGCTGCGGCGTCAACAGTCCTTTGGAGTCGTCACTCTCGTCGTCGCCGGCGGCCTTCGTCGCTTGTTCGTCTTTTCGCCTCCATTCCATAATTAGTGAGTTAACGAGAGTTGAGTTGCCAGCCCTTTTCCCCGGCTTAGCCCCTTGGCGAGAGGAAGAAGAAACAAGAAAACATCCTTCGCTCTCTCGCAGCGCCGCCCAGCAAGCAGCACCAGCAAGCAGAGCCAGAGAGCCAGCCAGCCAGCCAGCAGCAGCAGGAGCCCGGCCGGTCGAGAGGTAGATAGCCATCCAGGTCGCCCGTCCCTGCAGACCGTCGCTCGTTTTCCCCATCCCTCGCTGCCCGGACGTCAAGCGGAACCATGCGCCGCGCTGGCAAGATCCGGCAGCGGGCTTAGCAGGACTTCCGAGAGAGA